GTTTAGAGGTTTCGGGGGCTTAGGGGTTTAGGGGTTCAGGGGTTTAGGGGTTTACGGGCTTAGGGATTCAGGGGTTTAGGTGTTGTTTATGCTTCTCCGCCTAGTGTGGGTTTTGGGGTTAGGAGTTTAAAGTACACGATTCAGGGGCTCGGATGGAATACTTAAAGGATCATGGGACTTAGTATAATTTCTTATAGCCCGAATTAAGGTACTTATAACCTTACATACTAAGTCCCATGATCCTCCGAGTACTGCAAGTAAACCTTGACTGCAAGATATCCTGGAGGGCCCAGGACAGGGGCCCTTTGAACGACGGGGTTGATGATATAGTTCTTGCAGCTTGAGGACCCTGGACTACAGAAATTATGGTATCTTCCTTATTGTGGTATAGTCCTTATTATGGTATAGTCCTTACTATGGTATATTCCTTATTATGGCATATTCCTCATTATGGTACAGTCCTTCTTGTGCGTATATTCCTTGTTATGGGTAGTGCAGGGTTTGTATCATCAACCTTGGGTACGGCCCCGGCTCAGTATTAGTTGAATAACATTCATAATACAGATATATTAGGACCTTAATAGTAGCCCTAAACCCTAAACCCTAAACCATATTATAGACTCTTACTGTATGGGGGCAGTACCTAACATCAACCGCAGGAGCCTGACTGAGAGTCGACTGGTGCTTGGGAGTAATGCAGGGGCCCTAATAATCTGAATGGGGTTTTGGGGGGTCCATTATGGTATTGCTATCAAATGACAGTATAGCTATAACCAGGAACACTAGGAATAATTATACCTCGGCATGTGCCTTGCAGTCACCGTATTCGGAGTGGGCTCCCCATCCCCGTGCACCACCAGCATGTTCACGACTCGCACATCCCACAACTTCTCCACCATGGTGCTCAGTTTCACACTGACCCGGCGCGGAACGGTTCCTGCATCTGCACCGACGAGGCTAAACACCTCCTTTTCCACAGCCATGCTGGCGGCAGGGTCACCCGCGAGAACGAGAATGCCCACACTGTTGAGGGATCGCCTTTTGAGGAACTCGAGAGGTCCTGTGGCACGACTCATATGCTGTTTTCACTTTCACTCACGCTGGCCTGCATGCGACAATGCTCCGTGAACCTGTTTGCAAACAATCACTCCGATCCTGGAACCAGACGGCCTCGCAGGTTGACAGCTTCAGGTCCTTTCAACTATTCTGGACTTTGAAGTAACCATAGAGAAAAAAGTATAGACCTGTATTTCATCATGGTGACTTTAAGGAACCGGTCCAAGCAAAGAATACTGAAGCATGGTATTCCAGAACCCAGATATAGCCTTTACGGAGAGACGAACGAAGCCTCTTTTACGAATCTAAGCCCGACACCCATGAAGACCAACCCTCAGACCCTCAGGCCTAATACATCGGGTCTTTACCAATAAACTTAGAATTGGTATCTTTACGGATTCCTTCAAGGGCTTCCATCAGGGTTTAGGGTTAAGCACAGGGGCATTGATGCTTGGAATCGGGTTTAGGGGGAGTGCATGTTGCGATCATTTCATGATCTTCAGTAGCCTACGGGACAGTATTGGCAACTATTCAGGCCACTATATTAAACCCATTCAATAACCCTTGTGATTATCCTTACTTCTCCGTTTAAACCCTAAACCCCTAAACCCCTAAAAGCAACCGTGTGCCGAGTTGCGAAGCACTGGAAGGCCAGCAATCTTGGCTGCATCCAGCAGCGCCTGTGGTTTACGTTCAAGGCTTGGGCTTGAAAATTAAGACATCATGGCACTTAGGCCCCTTCCCGTGTAGTCCTATCATAAGAAGCATTTAAAGAAAACCAAAAAACGTCAAGGTCCTAGGGGTTGGGCTAAGTTCCAAGCAGATCATAAGCACCCCCCACCTCCAATCATTCAGAAAAGGCCCTGCAACATCAGCTTCGGCTTTAGCATTCCACTTGATGTCCGGTTCAGGGGTTTAGGGTTTAGGGGTGTAGGGTTTAAGGGAGCCCGCGGCTTATGGTGTAGGGTGTAGGGATTGGAAAACATGACTGCTGTGTTTGGCTGACCGTGCAAGGAAACGGCGTGGGCCCCAACCGTCACAAAACTCCTCAAACTCCAGCCTCCAGTCTACTTGGAGGGTCGGGGGACTTTGTAGCTGGTTATTTTACGGAGTTATAAGTACCATAACCCCAATTAGGGTCCCTTTTAGGGTACTTATAAGTCTACTTACTACCTACTTACTGAGTCCCCCGACCCTCCTGTCGACCGCTTACCACGATCTAAACAGGTACAGAATCCACCCTTCAGGGCCTTCTGTTATGGCTGATACACCATGGAGTGGTTCTGTAGGATCCAGGTAGGACCTACCTATAGTCTCCATTGTGTTCCTTTTTTAGTTTAACCTATTTTAGATTAAGGATCCCAATAGGTAACCCCAAGAAGGAACTACAATGGAGACTATAGGTAGGACCTAAATGCCCCGGACCGACAATTCCCGGATAAACCTGCAAGCCCCAAATTTAACGATCCCCCAAAACTGTAGACCCTTCCAAAACAAAGCAGCTGCGCACCCAGCCTATCGAGCACGAAATCGACCGAGATCCTAAACGCAAAAGGCAGCCTCAAACTAATAGACATCAAATCGGAGCCGCAGAAGTACCCAGCACCCCCAAGCCCCAAAACCCAAAACAGAAAATTCGGAAACCCTTAAACCCTAAACCTAGAAGCCCAAAAAACTCTGAAACTATACACAACCTCACTGTTACCCATAGAAGATCCGTAGAGGAACCCTGAAAGGAAACTTCAAGGCAACCCTTAAAGAAACCCTTCTTCAAGGAAACCCTACTTGGAGGATCATGGGACTTAGTCCGTAGGGTTATAAGTACCTTAATTGGGGTTATAAGTAATCGTAACTGTAGTTACCTTACTTATAACCCCAATTACTAAGTCCCATGATCCCAAGTGAGTACCAGGAAAGGGAGCCCTCAAAGCCCGAAATCAATACCTCAAGGGCAACCTTAAGGGATTCCCTTAAACGGAGCCATAAGGAGCCCTTAAAAGAACCCTTGAACGGAACCGTAAGGGAACCCTTAAGTGTAATTTTAGGGGTTCTACTATAGGGTCCCCTTTAAGGGTACTAGGATAGGGTCCGTGTTTAAGGGATCCCTTAAAGGAAAGTTCTGCCTGTCTGTGGACGTCCGAGTAGTAGGAGGGTACGCCGATCACGCAGTCAGCGACCTGGCCCAGGTAGGGCTTTGGTTTTTGGTTTACCTCGACCCTCAAGAACCTACATTTTTAGGGTTCCTTAATATGATTTCCTGATATGGAATCCTGAACAAGGTAGGTTATTTGGGGCCCAGGTAGGGCTTAAGGCTTATAGGGTCTAGGTTTTTTTGGTTTTGGTTTTAACACTACTAAACCCTAAACCCCTGAAGCCCTAAACCCTATAAACCCTGAATGGTTCAGGGGCGCGTGGAGAAAGGGAGATTATACTGCAAGGCTTCGCGTCACAAGCTTGTTTGCGGTGAACCCTAGACCGTCAACTCTAAACCGAAACCCTTAATCCTACACTCCAAACCCTAAACCCGAAACCCTAAATCCTAGACCCTAAACCAGGAGGTAAAATGCCGGTCGTAGAAAAGAATTGAGAGCTCAAGATAGCCAGCTCTAGTAGGCAACCAATCACGAAGACTTCAAGAAATCCGACACCCAGAACCTCTCAGGACCCCTCACCTACACTCACATAAACAGAAAACGAAACTACCACTTCATAGAATATATTACAAGCCCTAGATGTCCCACCCTCCTGCTAGCTAGAACCCTAAACCATAAACCGCGAGCGCGAAGTGATTTCGGCATTAAGCCATTGAAGCACAACCACGACCCTGAACCCCTATAGTAGAAGCCCAAAAGTTGGAAACCCAATAGCCTCAACCCTTAAGAGTAATATGTAGGGAATCCCAGAACTATTTGGCCTTACTCCGGTTTCCAACTTTATGGGGATTATGTAACCCTAAACCCTAAACCTTAGGGTTTACTGTACATCCCTATCCTCACGACCTCAAGGGAAAGCAGGGAAGATTGAGGATCTAATCATCGGTTTAGATTTAGGGTGGAGGGATCAGGGTTTAAACTTGGGTACGGCCCCCACTCAGTAATAGTAGAATAAGATGTATAATATAGATATACTAGGACCTTAATAGTAGCCCTACTAAAGACTCTTACTGTATGGGGGCCGTACCTAAGTTTAAACTATAAACGTTAACCTTTGGGAGTATATTGGGGTTATCTAGGGATTATGGTACCCCAAAGGTTAAGGGTTACCTACTCTGCTACCAGGTTCAGGCTTTCCGCCAGAAAGTTGGAACATTGGTTTCGCCGAACGGTAAAGGCTCAGAAAACGGACAAGACAAGCAACATGTTTCTTAATTCTTGGGTACGGAACCCATGCAGTAACAGTGTTTAATAAGGCTACTTCTAAGGGCTTTATATAAATGTCTTTAAAGACTATTATTCAACTGTTGCTGAGTGGGGGGGACAATCTCCAACCTATTTCTGCCTTCCGACATGTTGCAGCAATGTAAACAAATTCTGCAGGATCCTGACTACAAGGAACTGCAGGAAAAGAACGCTAGTATTGATAACCACCGAGTGATTTCGCCAAATCTATCAGGGCCAGAGCTATGAGTAGCATTCCCATTTTTCATGTACAAAGCCCACCGAAACTTTCAAAGCCCCAAACTAAAACCAAGACCGGTGAGCTGCATTTGTTCGGCGCTTCGTCAGTGCAACGCAAAACGGCCGTTATCTTGCACAGTCTACTTAGTATCCCCTGATGGCTGAATTGCCATTCCAGTCCACAGCGGTTGCAGCAGTGACGAGCCGAGTAGAAGTTGTCTTTCATAGCCGTCGGGTCCGGCGCACAGTGGCTCTCTGCATTCTGCATGAGCTATGGAGGCAAGAGTGGGCCTGAACCCTAAATCCTCCTTGCTTCAACCCTAAACCCTAAACCCTACTGTCGTCTGCCTGACCCAAGAAACTCTGCAGGTCGCTTAGATCTGCACTGGCTCGCCAACTCATGGCGAGCTGACCAATCTGTCCTTACTCGGCGTGACCACAAGACAATGTGAAGACTTGGAGTGTAGGGGTTAGAACTTTCCAATAAAATCCGGATTAAATCTAGATTACGCAATAAGCTATACAAAAAAAGAAGACTCTGACTCGAGAACTAAGCTTCCAGTTGTCTGATGCTGCGAGGCATCAAACCTCCACATCCATACGCGTGCCGTCGCGTTGTCAAAGAGACCTTTCACGCCCCCAAACTGCCAACAAGCCGCCTCTGTCTTATGAGCACGTTCCAAGCAAAGGGCCACCACCTCCTTGAGAGCGGCTTGATGTCCACCATGCTCACACAGCAAGTTGAGACTCGACAGCTCCCCAGTGCCTGCATCCACAAAGCAAGCGCCTTGCGGCAACTGCGACCATGCAGCCTCTCCAAGGTTAAAAGGAGGGACCCTTAATAAGGACCCCTAGGTAATATACCTTTGATATAGCTATTATATACCCATTATATAGCCCATTATAGGGACCCAGGGGTCCCCATTAAGGGTCCCTCCCTTTCCCCGTTGAGCCTCGTACCAATCCTCGCTGACATGCGATAAGCTTGGCTGCCTAGGATACCCAGTAACCTAAGAATAAAAAGGGCTCCCTTTTTGGTATTGGGTAACTTTATAAGGAACCTAGGACTACAAAAAGGGAATAAGGGTACTACTGGGCATCCTAGCCCCTAATTTTCGGAAACCCTAAACCCTTTATAGAACCCTTATAGATCCCTTTAAGGAACCCTTATAGATCCCTAAGGGTACTACTGCGCATCCTAGCTGCTCTGGGCTCTGGCGACGTGCTCGGAAGGTCGTGAGGCCAAGCTCGGTGTCGTCTGCTGGAGCGACGCAACCAAGCATATACTTCTCTCCGGCGAACTGCATGCCTTAGTTGCTGAGTTCATAAGCCCAAAAATGGTGTAATTTTTTAGTTTTATAGGAGGTAGTATTATCCAAAAAGGTGTAAAGTGTATCCACTCAGCTACTAAGATGCAGGTCTTCCGGGTGTGAAGCAGAGTGTTCATGTGAGGCGGCTGCCAAGGCTCAATGATCCTTGGCTTTGCCCTCTGCGTGTTTTGGGATCCATTTTCATGAATGCAAAGAACCATGAAGCTACACCAAGCCGCAATCCGTGGCTTCAGTCTGAACGACTGCTTGAAACTTCAACGTCACTAAATCCTAACCCTTGATCCCAAAACCTGATAAATCCTGAACCCGAACTCCGGAAACACGGAAGCTTGGTCGAGGATCTTCTTCACAGATGGGAAATCGAACTGTGTGCACACGGCAACATCATCTCGGAAGTAAGCCTCAAAGTCAACAGGGAAGTCTGACTTCGCGTTGCGGCCGCTGGTGAGAAAAGCCGGAGTCAGTCCCGACCACTCGGCCATGATGTCCTAAAATGCGCCCAAAATCGGTTTACCCCCATAATAATAGTACGGTTGATGATATAAATCCTGCATTACCCATAATAAGGAATATACCATAATTCCCATAGTTTAGGGTCCTTAAGGTAGTGCAGGATTTA